TGGGCCTCACAGATTGTGGGGTGAGTGATGAATGGGCTGGGGGAGCAGAAACCAAACAAAAAATCATCCCCACAATGAGCAATTGTACTTGGAATGCTGAGCAGCAGCTGCAGCATCCCAGCTCACAAGCAGCGTGCAGTGGGAAGTGCAGTAGGGCTGGGCACGCCCTCAACAGGAGTAGCTCTCTGTGCACATGAGGAATGGGTCTCTGCTGGGAGTCTCTCTTCTGTCTAATTTTCTCTTTGCTGATTCCAAACATGAAAATAAGAATCCTATTGAAATGCACAGTACAACACCAGTGAATTTGCTAGTGGTAATGACAAAGGATTTGCTAGATGGTAACTGTGCCAAAATAAGCCCATAAAACTTGCTGGCATTTATTTCTGAACAAACAGTAGGGAAGGAAATTCTGTCCCAATAAGCAGTGCCATCCCTCAGTGCAGATTTAGTACAGAATGGTTCGGAGTTGGGAGGATTAGGTTTGCATGCAGTTTGGTCCCCACCTAGGCAAGGAGGAAAGGCGAGTGGCCCCCTTCTGAGGAGCTGGGCTGCTTCTGGATGACACAGCTTCCCAAGACCACATGCTTCTTTATATCCCCATAGGGATTACTTTACTATGGAATGTAAGGAAGTGTGTGGCTTTGGCAAGTGCCTCTTCACGGCCCCAAGGCCCTGCCCAGAGCACAGGTTTGCTGACGTCTTCCTCACCAGCCAGCCCTGACCCCCTCACCAACAAGCCACACCTCCTTCTCCCCTCTTGAGATCGTCACTCCATCCAGGGCTTCAGGCCACTGGTTGGTGCCCACAAGGCCTGTCTGTGGCCACCTTCCATGCCCCCTCCTCACACCAGCTAGGGGGAGAGGACACCTTTCCCAAAGGTTTCCCTGCACCCTCCTCGCTTCTTCCTCTGTTCACACTGCTCCTGAAGTGGGCTGTTTGTGCTAACCAAGCGGAATCATAGCTCCTTAATGACCAACTATACTATGGGTCTGTGGCCTCCTGAAGCTTTTCACTGTAGACAAAAGGCAGACATCCTGAGGCCCAGGAAACCTCAGCGGCAGTGAGGGACTCACCTCAGGTCCTCATCTTCTGACCCTGCTCTGCTATTCTTTCTACCTGCCACAGCCCTGTCGAAGAGTACCACTTCCAGGCAAGGATATTGGAGGAAAAGGTTGAGATGGCAAAATAGGAATTCAATCCCAGCACTTTACAAGACTGAGGCAGGAGAATCACACTTTCAGGCCCAGCCTGGGCAACTTGGTGACTTAGTGAGACCCTGTATCAAAACAAAGAATGAATAAAAGATTAGAGATGTAGCTCAGTGTGAAGGCCTTGGATTCAATCCCCAGTAACACAAGAAAAAAGAAAAGTAATTCTCTCACCTAATGGCCAAGTTCATTTCTTCCTTTGTCCCTGACCCCTGTGTTCTCAACTCTGACTCTCAGAGGTCTGAGTCCAAACCCAAAGGGAGTTGAACTCTCAGAGGGCAGTGCTGAGCTGAGGAGACCCCACATGGCCCAAAGTTGTGCCTCACCCACCAAAGAGCTTCTGAGGAAGGGAGAAGGATGAGGGTTGTCCTTCCTTCGCTGAGCTCCAGCCCCAAGATGGCTTCATGTCCTCTGGAGGCCCTGCCTCCTTGTTTTTAGGGTGAGTATGTATGAGATAAAAGTGGGACCTCACTGAATTTATACCAAATTCATAAGCAGAATCACAAAAGCAACACCACAGGGCTCGACGACATGTGCTGACATGCCTGGGAGGGAGATGTGAAATGGAACTGGCAGCACAGGGCGAGGACAAGGGGAAGAGATAAGGTGGGAAGAGGGGGCACATGCCTATCTGCTGGGTGGAAGGTGGGGACTGGGATGCCATCCCCTCAGAGGCGGCATGCAGAGCACACAGGGCACAGGATCCCCATACAGGCTGCAGCTACACCACAGACATCACTCAGTGGCATCTTTCAGAAGCCAGGCAGTTGTAGCTGCACCCAAAGACATGCCAAGGACATACTCTTAGAGGGAGAGGTGTAGAAAGACATAGGGAATTGCTACAGCTGGGGCAGCTACAGGACCAAATACAGAAGCATAAGGTTTTAAGTCAATCAGAGGTAACTTTCCACCTTAAAGGGGACATTTTGCCAACCCTGCATACTTTCTTGGTCGTCACACTTGGGAGTTTCCTTGCAGCACTTAGGGATTCTGTTAACATCCTGCAGTGCACAGGACAGCCCCCCCACACACACACAGCAAAAGATTATCCATCCCCAAAAGGTCCCTATGCTAAGATTGAAAAACCCCTGCCTTTGACAGTGATGCTTTCAATAAACAAGGTGTCTGACACTGGCATTTCATGGTACCCTATATTTCCAAAAGAAATTGCTGCCCCTTTTGCTACAGACCTTGGTCTTCGTGTTTTGTAGAATAAGAGAATGCCTCAAGGTTGTACTTACCTCCAATGACAACCCTTTCCCTTTCCTAAATCATACCTACTGTAAAAAGAGTTTTCCTTTTCCTACTCTGGACATTGGGTTCACCTCAGAAATTGGGGGTATGTTGCATGGGTGCGTCTGTTGCTGGGTGTGGAGCAGACCATGGATAAAGGAGAGGAGAAAGATTGTGGAAGAACAGCTTCTAGAAAGAAGAATTGCCCTGAGCGAAGGTGGTCCTTCTGACCTATGAGCTGGACGTGAGTTATCCAGTCCTGATTTCAGAATGTGCAGCTGCCCTCTGCTCTCACAGCTGCCTACTGCCATGCTCCCCCAGGAGAAGCTGGAAGACAGGGGCAAGGAGATGGCTATAGGACGAGCTGGCTGGCAGTGCCCCAAGACACATATGTCATTGGGGGAAGGAGGATGGAGCAGGTAAGATGCTGACCACAGAGCCAGAAGGATACACAACAGAGGAGGTTACTCAGTACAAGGAGACCTCAACCCCACCCTGCACAGAGCCTCCTAAAACCATGGCATATTTTGTAGAACTCCTGCTTTCTTACCACCATCACAGTGTGCTTTTACCTAGCTGCCATTTCAGCAGTGTTTTCTTGAGTGCCTTTCTTTCAGGATATCTTATTTATTCTAGACAGACAGAACTCCCAAACTGGAGTCCATCTGGAAGAATCTTCTTGGCTGGTTTACTACCAGGTTCTCTGACTAGTGTTTTGAACAGCTTCAGGGATGAATGAAAATACCTGCAGCTGAGGGAAGGGAAATGTCCCCAGGACAGGCTGGAATTGAAACTCTGGGCCCCCAAAACAGTCAGAATTAATTATCTTCAGGATTTTCCCACCACCCCTGTCGGTCTCCTCTGTGCCCACTAGGGACCCAGAGCCTCATTCCCTCTTTGTCATTAAGCCTCAAGACAAGCAGGTAAGCTAGGTATGCTCTCTCACAGTATAGGACACAGAAACTAAAACTTACAGATGTCAGGCAACTTCCTGAAAGCAAGAGAACCAGAAAAGTAAGAGATCCTAACTCAAATAAATGTGACTCCAAAGCCACATGGTTTCCACTGAATAATATTTCTCTTCATTGGGAAGAGTACAGAAAAGGACAGGCAATGTCTATCCCCAAGGGAAAAGAGTAGTTTTTCTAGAATCATTCAAACAATCCTTTCTGCCCACCTCTTCCCTGCCCTGCTGCCATTACTATGAAGACTGCCAGGCCACCTTTCTGGGGAGTGTCTCCTTAAATGGCTCCAGCTCCCTTCATCACACCTCCCTAGAAACAGGGAGAAGCCCGTGGTACTCCTGCCATTCCATGGACCTCAAACCTTGCTGCTTCAGTGCCACCTGAAAGGCAGGTCACAGCATAAGTTTCTTTCCCCACACACGTTTCGGGCTGGAAAAGCAACACTTACTTTTCCTTTATAAGGTCAGCCTGCAAATTCTTACTGTATTCATTAAAACCTACAGGAATCAAAGATTTTCTCATTCCCTTGAGAAACTGTTTAGTCAGTTGCACCCATTTGTCAAACCAAACAAACTGACTATGGCTGGGAGAACAAACAAATCAATTGTAGTATATTCACATAATAGGGAACTATAAAACAATGAAAATTTATAAACTATAGCTACCACATCAATATGCATGAATCTTAATGATATTATTTTAAATGAAAATATCAACTCATAAAATATCTATGATATTAAAATGTATATATATTTTTAGGGAAATGCATAAATGATAAAAACTATAAAGAAAAACATTTAAATTATAAGAAAAAAGAAATGGTATTATAGTGATGTCTGGGAAAAAATATAAAGAGATAAATGAGGAAACTATTCAGGAATCCTCAACGGTACAGTACAGAACAGTGAAATTTATTTTAAGGGAGATGGTTATTTGTGAGTATGTTTCTACCATTATGTATAATTACTTCAACTTAAAGTTTATTTATTAAATTTTTTTCAAGTAGAAATATAAAGGAAAAGTTATACAGGATATAGGTATGAAAAATGACAGAATCCCATAATTCTCCTCTCCCATCTTCCAAAATAAATTTGACATCTTGGTGTGTGTATATATATATATATATATATATATATATGCATTAAGTATACATGTTTATATATTCTCTTAGGTGTCATACTTGAATTTAAATATTTTTAAAATAAAATGCAAGCTATTCAAAGACTGTACACTGAAATGTTAAATTTACTTTGGAATAGGGCCGGGGATTTAGCTCAGTGGTTTTGCCTCCTGCTGCACAAGCGCAAGAACCCGAGTTCGATCCCCAGCACCAAAAAAAAAAAAAAATTTACTTTGGAAGACGGGAAGAGGAAGAATCATGGAATTCTGTCATTTTCCATATTCTATAATTCTATATCATTTTTATTCTTCATGATGTTTCCACTTGACAAAGAATTAAAATGAAAGGAAATAAATTGAAACCATGCAATGCAAAATACAAATTATGTAAGATTGTCACAAATTATATCTGATTGCTGTGCGAGGATATCCTGGGGTTGGGTACATGCTAACACTGGTTCTCTCTGTGTTACAGGCCTGGACGAGGGACAGTGGACTCTCCAAAGTATCTGCTCTCGAGGCTGCATCACCTCACGAGGGAACTGCCCCCTGCTCTGGCTGGTCAAACGGAACCAAGTCCGTCTTCCTGAGAGGTTTGGTCCCCTTCAACCAGCTACAGCAGGGCTGGCAATGCCCAGTCCTTCGAGAAACAGAAGAGACTCACCTGTGGCTGAAATTACCTGCTAAAACTTTTCATGTAAAAACAACTCTCATTTGGTCATCATATCTGCATGCTCCCAAGGAAGGCAGAAAAGAGAAGCCCTAGGTTCAAATGAGAGCAAGGTGCTCAACACACAGATCTTTTGCACCCACAAGCAGAGCCACACGTGAACTTGACACACACAGTGAGTAATGGCTTTCACGATGGAGTTTGTGCAGGCCTGGCCAGCCAGGGGAAGACACTCAGACATCGAAGGCAGGGCTGTCAGTGACCTAGGTAAAGAAATTGACTTTAACTATGGCACAATTCAATGTAACTGCAAGTCAGAATATGGCTAGTTCCAAGACGTGATTCTTAAATAGCGCACCAAGTACACCTAGGACATATTTGTTTCAGTTAACTTCAAATAACCCTTTGTTTTCTCATCTGTAAAATAGGGACAATGACACCTACTTCAAAGTAGCTATAAGATTTTTTAAAAGCTAAGAGTCAAATATAAGCCCTCAAGAAATGGCAGCTGCTGTCATTGTGCTGTTGTAAATGGCAGTAACATGAGGACAAGGCTTTGTCCAGGGGTATTCATATCTGGAAGGGGAAGGCCAAATTTTTTAAAAATAGAAGTACTCAAAAAAATAAAACTTTATTTTAGGTTATTTTTATTCCAACCATTAATTCTACTAGCATGCAAAATGTGTTCCTCCTAGTCTGTCCTATTAGAATATAACAAGTTTTACTAAGACCGGCTGCATACATGAGACGGCCATTGCTATCTGAAATATCTGGTCTGAGAAGCCTTCTTTAATAAGTGCTCTTATGATCTAGTCCATAACCACACCTCCTCCTGTATTAGAAAGCCATGGAGTATGTGCCCTGTAGTCAATCCAGAGTGGAGGTTAGATGTGTGTGCTGGAACTAGACTGCCTGGGCTCAAATCCCTATTTACCAGCTGTGCTACCTTGGGCAAGTTGCTTGACCTCTCTGGACCTGTGCTTTCTCATCAGCAAAGTGGGAACACTGATAACAGTATCTACCTTGTAGGGTATTCATGGAAATGAAATGAAAATACATGTAAAGGCCTAAAACTAGTATTGGGTACACAATAAGTTCTCGAGAGGTTTTATCTTTGGCAATGTTCCTGAAGCTAAATTGATGTTCAATAAAAACTTCTTAATAAACACTCATCTTCCGTGTTCATTCTAAACACAAACTATGGCATGGTGTAACTTCTGGTTCAACTACAATATCCCTGCTTATTTCCTTAAATATAGCACACTGGTTCAAGCAAGTGTAAGGGGAAGGAGTGGCCACTTCTCTCTTCCTCCCCAGTTGTATGGTACGATGGAGCCTCTCCAAGAGCTAGGTATCCACTTCCAGGGGTAGAAGCAGGGTGATCTGGAAGCACAGTTGCAGAGCTGTCACCTGGAAGACATGGAAAGAACAAAAAGGTTAAACCACATGAAAACACATGTGGCATGGTCAGTGCTGCCTAGGTGTACTTAACCCTGGGGAGGTTTTCCACCTGGGAGGGCAGAGGTCAGGTACCTAAAGGTTAGATGAACACTAGCAGAGACAGGCAAGAGGAGAGCAGAGGAAGAGTCACTCTCAAATGTGATATTTTAGGGTTAAAATGCCTGATAATGCTGAACAAAACAACATAAGGCTTTAGTCCAAATAATGTCTTCCTCTGTGTTCTAAAGAAGCCAACCCCTAAAAGGTATAACAGATAATGTGAAATAGGAAGAAAAGAGGCAAAGGGGAAAGGGAAGTGGGAGGGGAAGGGGAAAGGAAAGAAGGGAATGGAGTTAATATGAGAAAATGGAAGCAAAGTCTTTGTAAATAGGGAGGGATGGAGGGGTTGAAGGGAAGGCAGGGGAAGGGGGAAAAAATAAGAACCAAGAGATTATGTAAAGGGGCAAATTTTCAATGATGAATGTCATTATATTGTATGCCTAAAATGGACCAATATAATTGTTTTATGAGAAAAAATGCACAATAGTGGAAAAATAAAAGAGTACCATCTTGGAATAAAAAAAAAAAAGAAGCGAACTCACCATCTGCTGGAGTTGGAAGACACCCAGCCACCTCCCACCTACTGGAGCGTTGGGGAAGCAATTTTGTACCTTTGGAAAGTGGTAGAACTTCTGATAGGTATTTGGGGAACAGGAGAAAAACATTCCCATCCAAATCCTTTCACCAAATCTTTTTTTTTTTTTGAGATGGGCTGGCCTTGAACTCTTTATGTAGCTGCTGGCCTGGAGCTCATGGCAATCCTCCTGCCTCAGCCTCCCAAATCCTGGGATTACAAGTGTGTTGGCCACATCTTTGAGGGCCACAAGATAGAAATAGTTTTAGTTAGAGTCTGCATCCAAAGTCAAGGTGGCACACTGGCCCCTCTGGAGTGCACCCTTCGAGTCTCTGTTTCATTTTTATAAAACCAGGAAGGGTGCAAATATGTTCCCGCTCGCACTCACCACTGAAAAGACAGGACCTTTAAGAAAACATAGTTCCTGATAACTCTGAGTGGTCTTAATCTCTGTGGCTGAAGTCCCACAAGTCCAATCTCTGCATTTTTATAAGAAATCAAACAAAATCAAAGACCTGGGCAGCCTGCCCCGGGGCTGCTGCACCTCATCTTGCCACAGCCCCACTGCAGGGCAGAAATCTAGGTTAAGCCACCCAGTGGGCCATGTGGTTTCACTATGGCTGTGCATCCCTTCATGTGTATTCCTGTATAATCACATTGCTGTGCCAGTAAGAAGCAGCACGGGACGTCACACTAGTCAGGCAGGATGACTCTGGGTCACCCTCAAAATGGATCTCACCACCCGCCATTGGGGGAGCGTTATCTCTGAGAGTGAAAGATGATAGATAGCACACAAAGTCAGAAAGAGCTCTTCCCCAGAAAGTGCTCATGAAAACAGTGTCTACCTGACAGAAATTCGGACAAACAGGAAGTTTCTGTTGGATGCAGGTCATTATAGGTTTTTTTCCTGGTGATAATTCCCTATGCTGGAAAGACTGTCAGCCAGCAGGCAGCTCATGCACTGCTGGCAAGGGTGAATACTGGCATATGCTCTTTAGAGTGTAGTTAACCAACAGGCATTCATAGAGGACGTTACTTCTTCTCTACCCAGAATCCTCCCTTCCTTGACCATTCTCCTTAATGGGGCCCACTCCTACCTCCAGTACCAGGTTTCCACAAGAGCCTCTCACGGCTAATGCACCACTGTCTAATGCAAACAATCCCGCAGAGTAGTTTAGACTCATGGTTTGCAAAAATAAGGGGTATATTTCCTTGGAAAGCCAACATGGTTAGGTGTGAAGCTCCACAACTGCTCCCAGTATTTTTCAGCAGTGTTCAGTAAGAGAGAAGAATGAACCAAAAGAAACCAAAAAGAAGAGACATAAAGTCCTGCAGGTATTTAAATCCTGGCCCCAGCTGTTTCCAAGACCCAGTTCCTATAGCCTACATCCTTGTTTACCTAAAGTACTTACCACTGAAATCTGCACTTAGAAACAAACAATTGTAATTCACAGGTATAAGATAAATACCCTTTGACACTTAGTGTATATCTAAAGACACACTTTTCAGTCACAAAAACAAATTAACATGAACCATTTTTGTTTTTTAAAAAATAGGGAGTGGTTAATACCAAGGTATGATATATGCATGCATGAATATGTCACAATGAAACCTATTATTCTGTATAATTAATATGCAATGATAAAATATGTATATGACTATACTGAGAAGAATATGGAACAAAGATCAACAGTAAATATTTCTTTCTCTTTTTTTTCAGTACTGGGGATCAAACTCGGGTCCTTGCACTTGCGCAGCAGGCGGTGAAACCACTGAGCTAAATCCCCAGCCCAGTAAATATTTCTAGATAGTGGCTTTTTGAAGAAAAGCTTTCTGAATTTTGCCCCTTTAGCATGTATTACTTATAGCAAAAAATAAGCAGCAGAGGTTTTTATTTTTATATTTTCTACTTTTCTCAAAGCTACACATGTTCAACATTTGAATTTCTAAAGCTTATAATGAAAACTAGTAGCCTTCTTCTTCACCCCAATTTTTATTATTGAGCAGCTGCTACATTTAAAACAATAGGGCTGGGGGTGTAGCTTGATGGTGAAGCACTTGCCTAGCAAGCCCAAGACACTTTGATCCCCACCAAAAAAGAAAAAAATAATAAAAATACTGAAGGTGAAAACAGAGGTCATTACTGGAAATTCAGTTTGGAGTTGACTGTGAATCAGCTTTTGCCAACCCTGTTCTACACATGACTGTTCTTTAGGGTAGAAGCCTGATTACTATTTCAAAGGCTGAGTCCTGACATTGACTTCACACACACACACACACACACACACACACACACACACACTCGTACACACACCCCTGACGCAGTGGCCCCCTGAGTCCCTACAGGCAGGGTGAGCAGGAAGAAGGTGATTGGGTCCCTGCAGAGGCCACTCCATGCAAGACCCAGCACAGGCTCTCTGCTGGCTGCCCTGCCTTTGGAGGAAAGAAACTCTGTGTGCACAGCTGGCAGAGCCTCACTCCAGAAAGCTCCCCTCCATTCCCCAAGTGCAGCCCCTATCCCACGTAAACCCATCTCCCCTTGAGTTTTTCTATGAGCAAAACTAATTGTATTTTCATCTACCTCAAATAGTTTCTAGTTATCCATGGTCAATAAATGGATCTCATGTACTTAGGGTTTTCAATTGAAATATCAGGAATTCTTGTTCTCTTGATAGTATACTTATGGTACTACATGTACAAAATAAAGAAGTACAAGTACACACCCCAAACTTCCTAATGTCCCACAACTTCACTCAGGAAACCAGACCAGAGTGATTTCTTTGCAAAATAATTAAATCATTCCACAGATAAAATAGTCAGGGCTCTCCAGAGATATAAAACCATTAGTGTGTGTGTGTATGTGTGTGTATATGTGTGTGTGTGTAAGACTAAGTGTGTGTAAGAAATTTGCTTGCACAATTATGAAACCTGACAAGAGAAAGACCCACAAGAGGCTATAGATCTAGAAGATCTGGCCCAAAGTCAGGCAGCAGGAGGAATTCTCTTTCTCACATAAGGGTCAACTTATAGTTCTATTTAGACCTTTGCGTGGATGAGGCCTACTCACATTAGAGGATAACCAGCATTAAGCAGTTCGCCAGTGTAAATGTTAATTTCACCCCTCACAGAAACATCCAGAAAAATGTTTGAACAAATGGTGGGGCACCTTCTGGCGCACCCAAATTAAAACATAAAATTAACAGTAACAATGAATTTTGTTTTCACTTAGGAAAGACATACAATAGCTTCTGTTTTTTCATAATTCTAAAAAAAAATCTGTGTGAGAGAAAAAATATTTTTAATGCTGTTATTCAAAATTTCCTTACTTCTCTATTCATATTAGCCTAAAATGTTAGTGTGATCATTTTGATATAACTGTTTTTTACTTCAAGATGTTTGAACATTTAAACTCATTTCATAACTCAAAAAAGAAGCCAATAACTTTTCCTTACTACCGAATTACTTTTACCACCACACTTATACCTGCTTGGACCTTAACCCACCCCAGATCCCAACCTATTCCTAACCTCCCCCAACCTCAGCCTTCTCTCTCCCTGCCTCTGGAGTCAAAAGAAGGTAGTGAAGGTGATGTGGGCAGATTGAGAGAACATGTTTCTTATAAGAAAAGCTCAAGGCTCGTGCCTCTTTCTTTAGTCCTTATTGAAATATGCCAGTAGCTTTATCACAACAGTCTTAAATATTTCTCAGTCAGCATTCACAGAGACCTGCGTTGAGGGCCAGGACCAAAGGAGGTACCTGAAGGAAGGGGTCTCAGTGGATGTGATGGCCACCAGGGAACAATCAGATTCTGACCAGTAGTGTCCTCTAGGTAACCTGCACACTTCTTCTCTTCTTTAGGCTTCATGGAGAAGTCATTCTACCCCATGGCCTCTGCTCATATTAAGTATGCACACGTAGCCACCTGACCTGCCCAACTCAGCTGTCCTGCACACGTTACACTCCTCATGGCCTCTGTCCCTTCCATCCATACCCCCCACCTTTCCAAATCCTCTTTCAGAACCTACAGCTGCAGACACCCTGGATATCTGGAAAAATGCCATCCCAGAAAAACAGCCAACTGTCAAT